ACTAAAGTGATGTCTTTGGTCTTCGTTGTTCTAGTTCGCTACTGAGAGTATTCCCACACTCTTGCTTTGCGATTTTAATTAATTTGTTTTCAAGTAACGTTTACCACATTTGCCCGGCATTTGGTACTGAGCAGCAGGTCCCATGAATCAAGGATGGAACACGTGAGGTGAAAATGTTCGTCAAACCAACCACAAATATAGTCACTTTAAACCATGAAACTGTTCAAGTCAGCCATTACACCACAACACATCAATACTGACTTACCTAACGTACCAGTTGACCAGAAATTAATGTGGAAAATCAATGAAATCTTTAACGTTCTACGACTTACGACAACCATGAATGGATTGAATTACGGAGAGAGACTGGACACAACATAGGGAGCCCAAACATCTGGGAATGAACACCGTGGTCAAACGACTGCGCATGCGTGGTACCCATGTTGCGGCAAATTTGCATTCGTAAACATTAGGATTGTCGGACGGCAGAGTTCAAAGTCGATTTATGAGAAATTCCTTTGATATTTAAGCTCAATTTTTTCTGTATATACCATTTATCATATTCTCAAACTATTCTCGGTTTACAATTTTTTAGTTCTTTTTTACCTTTTACACTCGGTCCCATTAAACACTGTTTTTCAGGAAGCCTTTTCAAGGTTAACTCAAAATTACCCGGCGTATTTAATCAACCGAACAAATCCGAACAAAAAATCAGTCGAACACAAACGAACACCAATCGTTCGATTTGTTTGGTAATCGAAGACAATCGGACTCGAGCTTTGCTGTGAGTTTGATTTTCGAAATAAAATCGAACACCAACCAATCGAACAAATCGGATTGTTCGATTTTGTTCGGTAAGTATAAATAACATGTGACAAGGAAGATAATCTAGTTAACAGCGATTTCCTCATTTCATTTGCTTGGATCACTTTACAGTGTGTAAGGGACGGATTTTTGAGGAATATTCGAGCACAGCTGTAAAGAGTGGAAAAGCGGAAACGAGTAAATGTTGTCGTTCATCAAAGTACATGACGGAAGCTAGTGTCACGAGACTTTCCTGTCTTTCCTGTCATCTAGGAAGACGTTTTATAATAAGACAATGAACAATTATACTCACTTTTAGATCTGAATAATATTTATAAACAGGTTTCTGGTAGTAATAAAATATCAAAAGAAGACTACGAGCAGCAACTTTAGCATGTAACGATCACAAACTTTGAAACTTTGAACCCGGTTTAATGAGAGTTTGCTAAATATTTCATTGAAGGCTCATTGTTATCGGAAGAAAAAACACATTCTAGACTGAAACCTTTTAATTGAAAAATGGAAAAGAATACGAGTCATGCATAGTATAGTATGGACCAAGCCAATGCCGAGCCGAAGTTAATGATGACAAGGAGTTGAGACATAAACGAGGCGGAGAAAATAGATAAAAAATTGACAATCTCGAGTCTTGCATTGGGTGATGTGTTTTAAACTTTCATTTTTATCTAAATTGGGCTCCCTGTGGTACAAAAAAACATGCTCCCCTCCCATTGCTCCTCTCTCCCTCCCTCTCTCCCTCCCTCTCTCCCTCCCTCCCCTCTCTCTCTCTCT